AGAGGGAGAGAAAGAGATAGAGAGAGAGAGAGATGCAAGTGTGAGGTATACACGCGTATACTATCCTACGAAATTCACGATTCGACAGGATGAAAAATTAATGGAGGCCCATGTCGCTTATCCCGGATGTTCCGATGCTGCCTAATGGCTCGATAAATAGATAATCTACAGCAAGCGTTGGAACGTTTGCTGTGGGAGGGTTCGAAAAATTAAAAAAAAGGAAAAAGAAAGAAGTGCAAAAAAAAGAAAAAAAGAGAGAAATTCGGTCAACGACCAATAGGAATCGTAGAATACATTGTGTTCACATGATAACCTGACAACAGAGAGAATGTTTGAAATCATTTTTTCGCTCCGTATATACAGTTATTATCGATAAATCTAACACACTACAGAAAATCTGTGGGATTACGAGTAATCAACGATATGGATTATTTAAAAAATAATAAAAATCAATTCTTCGTTTAATGTGAGAGAGAGAGAGAGAGAGAAAGAGAGAGAGAGAAAGAGAGAGAGAAAGAGAGAGTGAGAGAGAGAGAGAGAGAGTTCGTATAAAACTGACGAGTGATTAAAAAAAAAAAAAAAATAAAAAAAAAACAATCTTTTCGTTCATCGTAAATAACGGCGTGTTGAAACGAGATAAGTGAAACAAGTCGCAGATATTGCAAACAGATTGAATTGTTAGAGTACAATAAGATAAATGCAACATGTTATTGTAATCTAAATAACAACATTGAATATTCTTGTACATTGACGGTTATACGATAAAAAAAATGATTTATATATATATATATATATCCGATATTACATTACTAACTTAAATTAACCGTAACAAACTAACCTCTTTAACTTTGTCCCTGCGTTCTCTGGCAATTGTATCTTTGTCCTCGCCAGCAACGATCAAAGGAAGTTTTATCGCTGGAGCAGGCGGCACAGTTTGAAAAACTTGCTCGTTCCGTTGCTGCACTACGACGGAAGACGACAAACTACTCGTACGCACTCGCGAATCACCACCAATTTCCGGTTTCTCCAATGTCTTTTGTTGTTGATACTCTTCGTCGATTTTTGCCTGAAATTAATCCGTCAAAGTGCATCTAATTTCTCCTCTCAATTTGACGACGGTCGCTCGAAGAGATTGTTTTCATAAAAAGAATTAATATAAATAAATAATCAAAAAAAAAAAAAAATAAATAAATAAAAGAAATAAAAAAAAATAGCGTAAGACATTTTGTAAAACGATCTCATTGAATGCAACGTACCTCCTCCCCATTATTACTCACTCTATTATATTATGATGTCGTTCAAGGTAATTAAAGGGAAATGAATTTATTCGATTAATAAAAAACGATAAAATTAAAGAATAACGTAAAAAAAAAAAAGCTAAGAAAAAAAAAAGAGTAAGCTTCAGATATTCCCGCCAATCCGTCGAAAACACGCATGTGCGGAACAGAGAGCGCATGTCTGCACGTGCATTCTACTCGTGCGTCATCGCGGGAGATCGGGGTAACGAACGTAAACAAACGGGAAAGGACGGAGACGCACGAACGTATACACAGCGCCACTCGTGTTCTCTCTCGCACGAACGTCGAGGCCAAGTGACGCAAATGTTCTCTCTTTCTCTCACACCCTCGTTCTCATGCTTTCTCTCCCTCTCTTTCTCTTTCTCATTCTCTCTCTCTCTCTCTCTCTCTCTCTCTCTTTATCTCCATCCATACGTTTGACGTTTGACCGTGATTTCACCGTATATTCAACGCATCGTTTTTTACGAAAGTAAACGAACGAACGAACGAACGAACGAACGAACGAACGAACGAACGAACGGAGCGAATGAATGACTGAGTGAATGAGTGAGTAAACGGGGGGGGGGCGAAGTGAAGTGGGGGGAGAACGAGAGAAAAGAGGAGAAAGTAGAACACGTATGATGAAAATTCTTAAAGATCTCCTTTAGCACACCTGAAGCTTCAACCGATCCTCGATGAGATGTACGTCGAGGTTACCGGCTGCCTCGTGGCCAAGTGGCATAGGTAAGGCATTGGGATGATGAGATGAGTAAGATTCATCGTTGAATGAATCGCCAAAAGAACGACGAGGTGGTGCTGGTATCAAAAGGTCTGGCCCTGCTTTTTGCATATGCCGGTAGACGCGATAAACGCTGTCCACTGCGACACCACCGGCGCCAAAGTCCGGGAGAAAGAAGTACGCGCCGAAGCAGACGATTAAGAACGTCAAGAAGACTATGAGGATCAGGTACTTTTCGCGCGGCCGGAAGGAACGTCTCGAAAACAGTGACGCCGGCGCGCCGCCGTTCGCCAGTCTCTGATACGACGGGAGGATGCCTCCACTCGCCGACGTCATTGCACTAAACAACTAGGCACGACACTCTCCTCGACGGTATATATAATTCGCGTCTCCTTTGGGTAATTTTCTTTGGATCGAATGGCACGATATCAAACGTATATCACGCGAACGGAATTAACGACACGGACACACTATTGCCAAAGAAGAAGCGGCTAAACGTCTCCTTCCTTGGTTACTTTATGACAACTCGACGATCACCAAAAGAAGAGAGGACACACTTCACTCTGTCTGTCTCTCTTTCTAACTTTCTATACTTTCTCTAGTTCCTTCTCTTTCTTTCCTTTCGTTCGTTCCTTTCTATTTTCCTTTTCTTTCTTTCTTTCTATCTATCTTTCTTTTCTTCCTTCTTTCTTTCTTTCTTTCTTCCTTCTTTCCTCTTTCTCTCAATCACGAACGACCCGACGAAACGGAGCGCACTCGCGTGTGCGTCGTTGCAACGTTTTACTTTGCCCCTTACACGCCATTACGGACATGATGCCACAGCAACGCCACCTGACAACCGGCCGAACACCTATCTTATTCGACGTCACTAATACATAACAAAATTTAACAATAAAATGTAATTTTATTTTATATATAAATTGAACAGTTATTATTTATTTCAATGATTCTTCTTCAACCAAGCGATTTCAAATTAATATCGAAATTTGAAATTTTTATTTTTACTTTATTTTTTTATTTTTTGAATGTTAGTATCATTAAGAATTCATTTCTAACCAATCCCAATTTATAATTTTTGTTAGGTTTTAAAAGTATAAAAGTCTTACAAACTTAAGATTTGAGTTAAAAAGATTCCTAGATATTTTCTTCTCTTTTTTTATTGATGTAAATATTACTTTTACTAAAAACAATGAGTAATAAATTTAGACATATGAATTAATTATTCTGAAAAAGATTACAAACATGGTACAATGTTATTCTTACCAATTAAATATCTGGAGTATCAGAAATTGGATAAATTATATTATTGTGGAACTTTATTACTAAGTGGATTCGTTTGTCATTCAAACATTTTTGTTTTAATTAAATCAGTTGGGTAATTAGTATATCAAATATTGTAAAAAATTTATCAAGATATTTAAACACCTAAATAAATGAGGATTGCATATTTATACAAAAATTACAAAAAAAAAAATTATTTCAGTTAACGAATGTTAAACCCAACAGTTTAATTGAGCTTTCAATGAAGCTTCATTTATATGAAAAAGTTAAAGAAAAAATGTATGAATCTAATTACATCTTTGTTCTAGAAAAGGTCAAATATTTTCTGGAATATGATAAAGAAATAATTAAAATAATAACTTTAAAGATGATGATGAGTTGGAAAAAAACGTTTATATATCATCTCTAAAAAAATTTCTTTTTCAATTTTCACATTTTCTACTACATTTATAATTAAAATTTTTAATAAAACTTTGACATAAACAATTCTCGACTTACGTATGTAATATGTTTAAATAAATTTATCAAATATAAGAGATAAAATTTTTGATCTGATATTATCATGATTTAATAAAAACTACTTAAAACTAAATTATCAAAACTACTTGTAGACCAAAAATTCTCGTTTTTCATATATATAATTTATAATTGATCATATAATTCAATTTTACGACTATGCTATTTCATAATATAGCCATTGCATCATTCTTTTACCTGATTTAATTTTTCAGATAACTCTACCTTTCCTATCAAATATTCTACTAAATTTTCTCAATCCTTCTTCTTCAATCCATAATATTTCCAATATGTTTCATATCGTAAGAAATGGTACTATATTATATTGTTAGATAATAGAACTCCTTCAATATAATGGCAGTTATTCAGTAATACTCTCCTTACATACAAATTACTTTCTAATAAATCTGAACTTGGAACACCAATAATGTTTACAATATGCTCTGCATCATCATTAGAAAGGAATTTTGTTGTACAGTGCATTAGTAATTGGAACAAATATGTTTGCCTTTGTATATGTTGAAATTCCTTGATATTGGCTGTTATTCCATCGAATAATCTTCTTCATCCTTTTTCTGGTTCGATACGTTCCCCATTACTGTTCATTTTTCTTTCAACAACTTTTCGTAGCATACACATATTCGTAGACTTGTTGCTCTGATTAAAACTTCTTGGTGCACTGATTAGTACCATTTCCGTGTCATCTTTGACATCTCTCATTAATACGATTTTATTGACGTAATAAGAAATATTAATAAGTGTTGGAAAATCAGTTATGTAGAATTCAATATTCTTTGAGATTTTCTAACAAAAATAAAATCACTATTAATCATATATAAATCAAAATTGTAAACATACGTAAAAGTATATTAATTAAAATTACCTGTAGAGAAGAAGAACTTTCGTCACTTAATTCGTGCCCAAACATTTTTAATCGTTTACCAGCGCATGATTTCATAAAATAATTAAATCTAAAAAAGAATTACTAAAGCGTAAAGAATTATAACCTCAAAATAGTATTAGCGTGTAACACCTCCGATTATAGTCTCCGTCTATAACATGGCGTCTTAAGCGCCCTCTCTTCTAGGTGCTTGCGTAGTACTAGTGATTTCTTAAAACACATATGATCACAACTCGTTGACGCAAAACAGTGATGACGTCATTGGCGCAGGGTAGGCAACCTGTCGTTGGTACCAATTGCTGGTGAGGAGTTAGTGTTTGGGCTCTTGTATCTTCCTGGAACCCTATTCTTGAAATATATATTTATGTATATAATATATAATGTAAATACTATACATTTATATATATATATAAATATATATATATAAATATATATATAAACATATATGTATATAAATATATATATATACATATATATATAAATATATATATATAAATATATATATAAATATATATATATATGTGAGTGTGTGTGTGTGTGTATATGTGTCTGAATGTATGGATGGATATGTGTGAGTGTGTATATGTAGGTACGTATGGTTTGCTCTACGCAATCGTACATATATTTACGCTCTAATAATTATATGATCACATTAATAAAAAAATATTAAATTGCATACGTGAATATCATTTGAAAAACGTTATAATAATAAATATATTAAATAATAAAATCATTTTTCTATATCTCCATTAGACAAAAGAAATGAATAATACGAAAAGATAGAAAAAAGTCATCATAGAATACATAATAAATTTTGATTAAATTTAAATGCAGCCATTAGCTCGATAATACTTATGTTAATTGAATTAATCATATATGACAAGTATTATCGATTTCCAGGTCTCACCACATGGAGGTTGCTGCATACGGAGACCCACGGGCTAAAGACTCTACTGTTAATATCAATTGCTTTGAATTATATAAAATTATTATAACATGTTCTTATTATTATAATTATTATAATTTGAAAATTTGAAAGAAGGAAAATCAATCGCGAGACGAATTAAAAATTTTTTTCTAAATAATCATGATTAGACGAAAATTTTTGAATTCGTCTGATATCGACCTACCTAACCGGTTAAGAATAGAGCCCATCATAAGGAATTCTATTCCCATTAAACTAAACTGGATGTCCATTATGCTGAAATAAAAAATAGGACGGAGTGCTTATCATAAACATAGATTATATATCTTATATAAAAATTATATAAGAGTATATAATATTATATAAATACTGTCTTATCGTCTATAATACAACAAAAATAGTTTATCTTTTGTAAGATTAATAATTAGCCAATTTGTTTTTTTTTTGTTGCATTACGTATGTTATATTGTCATATAACATATACTTCTATACATAATTTCTTCATATTATGTAAAGAGCATAACTATGTGTAAATATAAAATATCTAAATAATTTCATAATTTATAAATCGAAATAACAATCGAAATAACATGCGAATTTCATATAATAAATCAGCAATCATCTGTGAACATAAAACATTGATACATACATTTTATAATAAAACAAGAAAGAATAGAAATAATATTCGAATTTTATATAATAAATCAGCATTCTGTTGTTCATAGTCATCTGTAAACATAAAACGTCAAAAACATTTTATAATTAAACAAAAAACAATCGAAATAATGTACGAATTTCATATAATAAATCAGCATTCAACTATTCAGTCACCTGTAAACATAAGCATTAAAAACATTTAATAATTAAACAAGATGCAACTGAAACAATTATTATAAACAATTATTATTATAAATCAACAATGATCTTAACATATAACATCGAAAACATTTCATAATTAAAGAAGAATAATCAAAATAATGAACAAATTTCATATAATAAATCAGTACTCAGCTGTTCACAGTCACCTATAAACATAAAACATCAAAAATATTTTATAATTAAACAAAAAGCATTATTAATCAATATGCAAATTTTATATACTGAAGAAACGATCTGTGGTCATAAGAAATTTATAATTTTATTTCTGAATATAAAACATATATTAAAATAAAAATTATACGCACACATATGCACACATTTTCTCAAAAACGTAGAATCCGATCTTGCCAATTTAGATGATGTTTCCTAAAACAGAAATCAACTCCGTTTAGATTGATTAAAAATTTTGTTGAATATTTCAAATGAATAAAAAAGAAAATAATTGCAGACAATTTGTCTTCCGTTGCTTTTTATTTTTTATAATTCCAATTATTCATTTAAATCCTCAATAATTAATTAAATCTCCACATTATTATTTTTCTTTGACTTTTGTCAATTAAAGCATCTGTAAAACCTGAAACACAAATCTATTTCACATAATACATTCAGAATATTTATTAATTTATTTTTATGTCACTTATTACCATAGTAACAACTCTTGAAATATTATGTTCGATATTGTTCTTAAAATCCATTGATATATATATGGATGTTATATATCTATATATATATATATATATATATATATATATATATATATATATATATATATATATATATGTATATATACATATATATATACATATATATATAGATATATATATACATATATATATATGTATATATACAAATACTAAATATATATATATATATATATATATGTATATATACAAATACTAAATATATATATATATATATTGTATTTATATATATATATATATTGTATTTATATATATATATATATTGTATTTATATATGTATATATATATATATATTGTATTTATATATATATATATATATATATATATATATATTGTATTTATATATATATATTGTATTTATATATATATTGTATTTATATATATATATATTGTATTTATATATATATATTGTATTTATATATATATATATTGTATTTATATATATATATATATATATATTGTATTTATATATATATATATAACTATATTTTATATATATATATATATATATATATAAATACAATATATATATATATATATATATATATATATATATATATTGTATTCATATATATATATATATAACTATATTTTATATATATATATATATATATATATATATATATATATATATAAATATATATAAGAAGAAAAAAAGTATTAAAATAACAACAAAATTAGTATTGAATATGTCGAATTTTCGATGCATTAGAAAACACGTTTTACATTTAAATCAAAATATGAAATTATGAATGAATTTGATGTATAAATGTATAGAAATATACATATAGAAAGAATTATTTAATAAACTGTCAATTGTTTAATACAATTACAAATACAAATTATGAATTATTCAAGACACGTTGTGAAAAAAGAAAAAAGAATTATAAATATTTTATAATATTTAAGCAATTAAGACACGTAAAAAAAAAAAAGGAAGAGCACAAAAGTATACTGCACCTTGTGTTGTATTACAAAATGCGTACACAATTTTATATATCGCCATAAATATATCCATAACGAGATCAGATCTAGATTTAATCGATAGATTACATACATATTATATTATTACGTTTATATTAACGCGAAGTAAGCAGTTACATCAAATGTCAGATATACATATTACATCATTTATATATATATATATATATATATATATATATATATATATATATATATATATTAATATATATGATAATTTCTTATTTATTGAATTATAAAAAATATAATAATACAATATCGCAATTCTAGAACCATGTACTTTGCATATGTATATGAAATAGTATTAAAAGAGAAAAATACGAATAAATATAAAAATATTACATATATTAAAGACAATTTAGTTTTAATATATTTTTGCACATTATTCTTACGAATTTATTAAATGAATTTATTTCACTGCTACTGCTTGCTATAACAGATCCTAATTTTTCTAACTACATCAAGTTTTATAGATTTTTAATCAGAATAATTAGAATCTATATAATACGATGATAATGATGATGGTTTACAACATATGATTCGTTTTACAACTCGTGGTTACTAACTGTATAAAATTATTACTTAGTAATAATCACATAAAAAAATTTTAAATTATTCTGAAATAAAAATCTATATGCTTGAGTATTCTCAGGTGCATTCCTGAATGCATACCTGTCCCTATTTTGAATTATTTTCGTCTACACTCCTGAGTGTAGGACAGCCTTTTCATTCGTTTTATTTATATATCAAGACTTATGCACTTTTATTCCAAAAAATAATTTCATTAATTAAGCATAAATATTTAATAAAAAATCATCGTATCATTTATATCATATCATTCGCTATTTCTGCTTCATATTTCTCATGAATCTTTCATATACATATATATATATACACACATATGTTTATATAAAATAAAAATATAATTTTTTATATATCTACGAATTCTTTTTGATTTGATAATTTAAATAATTTGGAATAAAAATGTATATCCTTGACATAATTTATGCACTCCTGAGTGCAAGGCTGTTATTTTTGTATCATATCGCTCGCTTAGCAAGATTTATACATTTCTGATCAGAATGATTCAAATTTTCTTTTCATTTATATCTACTCTATTTAAATATAAATATATCACTGTATTAGGAAGAGTATGAAATATTCTTGATTTATTATTAGATAAATTTCGTTTCTTTACAATAATATTACAAGACTAGAAAATTTAAATATTTATTTATCATATTCTTTAATTTATTATATTATATACACGTGCATTTTCCTTGACGTATTTTTGATTTTTCTGAATGAGAAATGTATATCCTTACTATAATATGTTCATCTGCATTTTTAAATGCAGGCATGTACTTACTGTGAACCTATCATATGCACTCCTGAGTGCAGGCAAGCCATTTCGATCGTTTCATTTATATACCAAGACTTACGCATTTTTATTCCAAAAAATAATCATATTTCATTCCCATATGTATAAATATTTATTAATAATCTTTATATCGTTCATTATATCTCTTTTGCATTTCGTATGAAATTTTCATATATGTATATATATAATAAAAATAATCTCTTCCTTTCTCTCTCTCTCTCTCTCTCTCTCTTTCTCTCTTTCTCTCTTTCTCTCTTTCTCTCTCTCTCTCTCTTATATATATTTAGTAGTTCTCTCATTTCATATTTATTTGTTGATAATTTTGGAATAAAAATGTATACCCTTGACATATATCAATATGCACTCCTGAGTGCTGGCTTCCATTTATGTTATTTCATTCATTTAACAAGACTTATATA